TACAATTAACAGGATTTTGAATTGTCACAGAGGTCACCACTTAGGTCAGTTGTCTTGTTTTAGAAAATTTTGCACAATTTCTACTTTCTTTCTTTCTTTTCTCTGAACTATTAATGGACTCTTTCTTTGTCACACTCATCTTTTATTCCTTTTATTCCTCTGGCATTTTTAGGCTAGGGAAATAAGGAAAGGCGAAATCTCATAAGCCTCCAAAAATCCATTTCATTAGATTTACTTGGAGGCAGATCACAAAGGAACATAGAGATTGGAGGCCATGCACTGGCCCTTCTATGTCTTTGGAAAGCTTTTACTGCCTGTTTAACAGTAGAGCGTCACTGAATTATTTACCACTATCACCAGATCCTTTACAAGCTTTTTGTATCCTGAACTAAAGAAAAATTAAATAAAGCTCCTTTGTACACTGTACTTTCTTAACATGCGGTCAAATACCACTTATGCATGATTGCCTTGTCTGATGGCAGTTTCTTTTTATTTCTGCTGAACGTGTGTGTCTTTCTCCACCCCCTTTTTCTTTGACTTTAGTTGGAGCAATTTTCTTACAACTTTTGTGCTGAGTGACTTCAATGGTTAGACTGTTTTTCTCAATCAATCTGTATGCCTGTTTTAAAGAGTGCAGTGCCGACTGATTATTTTATTAACATAACTAGCCATAGTTTGAAAAATCATTATTGTTTATTCAGATACCAAATAGCTGTTACCAATGGCTACCATGGAGTTCATATTAAGAATAATAAATGTTTATACTAGATAGACTAGTAAAGTAATTCAAAACCACAAACGACACACAAGTCATAAAGTAGCATAGTTAAAACCTTTATCCTCCCTTTGGTGAAGGAATAAACCATATTGTTGTGCATTCTTGTCGAGTAAATCTCATGTGAACGGACCTGTGTAAAGCTTGTGTCTGATTGTTGATTGTCAGAGGCTTTTGGGGGGTTGAGTTAAAGGCACACTGACAGTGATGTGGTGGGATTTAAATGTAATCAAACGGCAACTACAATGGTTGAAGATTGTACAATTAATATACCTCATTGATAAATGCAATCAGGCCTGAATAATTGCCCTAGAAAATCCTAATTTGTCCTGCCTTGATTGCCTGCGTCAGACTTTCACTCCTCCAGTGAACAATTTCACTAAGAAACAGACTGTCACCTTGCTTATTGTCTTGATCGTGACACAGTTGTTATTTCACCACTTTCACAACATCCAAATTTGTGCATATGTTTGATTCTTAATTATTTAATTATTCTTAATTGCATCACTGATGATTTTTGCTCAGTGGCCTACTACAGCATTTAGTGATAATGGCTACAAGTAGCAATAAAAGCCTGTTTTAGTGCTTTTAGTCTGAATTAATGCAGATATCTATTACTACCTTCCTAAGTATCTGTTAATATGAAATTGATCGCTGGCACAATTAACTGCAATTGTTTATGCTTGACTAAAACATCACCACTGATAATCTCCCTGTTTTGACCACTGAGTGTGTGTGTGTGTGTGTGTGTGTGTGTGTTGTGTGTGTGTGTGTGTGTGTGTGTGTGTGTGTGTGTGTGTGTGTGTGTGTGTGTGTGTGTGTGTGTGTGTGTGTGTGTGTGTGTGTGTGTGTGTGGTGTGTTTGTTTGTGTGTGTT